AAAAGAAATTGAGGGTTCTGAAATGGTCAAGTAAAAGCCCATCAAGATGCTGTAGAGTGATCTAGAACAGGCTATGTATGCAAAACCAAAAAAAAAAAAAAGCCCTCAAACACTGCTTAGCTGGAAAAAATTCTGCATGGAGGAATGGGAAAAAAATTCTCCTAGTTGATGTCAAACACTGATAGTTATAAGAAATGCTTGCTTGAGATTGTTTTTGCTACAGGAGGCAATACCAGATACTAAATGTGATTTTTTTCACATAAGGAAATGTCATATTTGTTAATGTTTTTGAAAAAATAAATTATTGAAAATTTGTTTTTTCATAGTTTTTTTCAACTGCATCATCTTTATATACCTCTGAATGAAGATAAAATATTGATATGTTCGCATACTTAAAAAAGAAAAATGACATGGGGTTTACACGCAATATTTTTTCTCCTGACTGCAGACTCTTCAGTCACGCATAGTCTCTAATACTTACATACGTGAGTTGCTGCTTAATAGGTGCTTGATATACATTACAGGAAGTATATAACTCAATAACTTTAAAGCTGTAAAATTTACTTTATTTTAATAGAGCACTCAAATGCAGGGATTCTGGTAGACAGAACATGAACATGGAATTAAAAAAAATTCTGAATTCAGGAATGTTGTTTTGAGTTTCAGAGATACCGGAGTTTAGTTCTTCTACACATAAATACATCCTGCCAGAAGTTTTCTTAACTTACTAATATAATTTTAGTGAGGGATGAGTAGAGAATGAATCACTCTGTTGCTACCTTGAGAATCAGAAATCTTGTTGATACATGTTAACTCCTTTAAAGACCTGCCACTAGTGACTAGATCTAGGCATTTTGTCCATGCACGAATGTGTGAAACATACTTAAGGTTGTATATTTGTATAAAAAATCATGTTTCTTGGATATACACCAGGGATATGGGCAAATGACAAAGCATGTGTTATATCACAACACCAACACCACACTTAGGTTCTTGCTTGTGATGCGATGATAGTAGTAGAAAAATGGAGTTTATGTCCTCATTTTGACATCACTGGGATTAGGGATTATGCATATTCTTAATTCTTTTTGATTATCAAAAATTTGTGACTGCAGGGTAAAAAAATGCTGAAATGTGTTTTGTGGATCAAGTTCCCATACCTAATTTAATTTTACAACTAATGTTATATAATGCCCTTCAGAGTATTTATCAATATCAAATATGTCACTGAAAATACAATCTGATAGTCTTAAATCCTGCTATGTACATCCTAGTCCTCAGGTGCTACTTCTGCATATGCTTCATTGGCTTGGAATGCAATAGTTTCAGTATTTTCTTATTTGCTGGGTTTCTACACAGTTCCCAGGAGGAAGTAATATATATTTGTTATAATAGTGAAGCTCTCATAATACTTGACTTATACTTTCACCTTTCCACAAAAGCTATGATGATTGACAACAAAAATGGACAACTTCTGGTTGCAGTTTAGAATATTCCACTTAGTTGTGGTTTTTTTTTTTTACATTTTATAAAAATACTGAAGTTATAATGAGGGGAGACTCTAGTTCAGATCTCTTCTTGAATCCTTAAGATTCTGAACTCTCAAGACATTGTATAAATATGGGAATAAAATGAACCAAGTAGGTACTTAATTCAAAGCAGAAAATGATGTTGGGTCAAATGTGAACGTGTTTCAATAGCATTTTGCAGCTGTCTTATTTCTTAGATGCTAATCTCATTTGATTTACAAAAATAAAATGGTTTTATTCTTTATCATTTCTGTTCAGATGTCCTGATGCTTAACTTGCTATTCAAAGCAGAAAGAAATAAGGAATAAGATTAGTTTAAGAACAGATGGCAAAGGATACCTTACATTTGTAATTTTTATTTTATACATACAGAAGAAATACTTGATAAACCCTTTTAAATAATATACTACTAGCAATGGAATATGAGACTGTTTGGATAAGTCCAAGAAAAGAACTGTTCTCCCCACCCCCACAAACTGATTCATGTTAGATTATAAGACCTGGCTCAAAAGCAGCAACTGTGAGAGTTGGAGTCCTAGTGGACAATCACTTGACTATGAGCCAGCAGTGTGCAGCAGCAGCCAAAAAAGCTAATACAATCCTGGGTTGTATAAACAGAGGCGTAGAATCAAGATCACATAAAGTATTAGTATCGCTTTATAAAACCCTAGTAAGACCACACCTAGAATACTGCAACCAGTTTTGGTCATCATACTACAAAAAAAATGTTGAGATCTTGGAAAAAGTTCAGAGAAGAGCAACTAAAATGCTCAAAGGCATTTTAGCCTGGAGACTAAAACATATGAAGAACAGGTGAAGGACTTGGGTTTGGCTAGTCTAAAGAAAAGAAGAAACAGGGGTGAGATGATAGCACTATTCCAGTATTTGAGGGGCTGCCACAAAGAAGAGGGCGTCAAACTATTCTCCAAAGCACCAGAGGGCAAGACAAGAAAAAGTGGTTGGAAACTGACCAAAGAGAGAAGCAACCTGGAATTAAGAAGAAACTTTCTAACAGTGAGGACAATTAACCAGTGGAACAACTTGTCCTCAGAAATTGTGGGTGCTCCAACTCTGGAGATTTTTAAGAAGAGACTAGACAGTCACTTGTCTGAAATAGTATAGGTTCTACTGCTCAAGCAGGGAGCTGGACTAGAAGACCTCCAAGGTCCCTTCGAGCTCTATTCTATATTCTAATGTATAAAAGATAACACATTTTGAAGTGTTTCCTGATCCGTAAAAAATACATGCTGAGAGAAAGTTTTTTTCTTTTTTGTTGAAGTCTTCTTCCTTAAAATGCAGGAATTCCCCCTCTAATATATAGATGTATTTCATCCCTGAAATGTGTATTGCCTAGAAGAGCCAGATGAAATATGGCAATGTGATGACACACCTCACTCTAACAGCTAAAAAACAACTATGGTCAGTGGAAATTAAGCTACCAGGGAAAAGTAACTTATTTCCTCATACTAAGGCACACAGAGAAGAGGAACCTATGAGTCACAGGACTTGCTCTCAGCACACTGTAGCTGCCATGATTAGTTAATTTTACAATGTTTCAAAATATATAGTAATAGTTTGTAACATACTGGAAAGAATTGCAACTCGGGTCCCTGCAATACCTAGGTCAGGGGTAGGCATAGC